GTCAGGTCAGATAATGCAACTGAATGGAATAAGGGTAAAATATATTTGAATTGATTAATAATTTAAAATTTAAAATTTAAAATTGGATATTCTAGATTTAAATTTTAAATTAGATGAAGAGTGGTTTGAAAATATATATATATATATATACACAATTTAATAAATAAAGTTAGTGCATTACCATAATAAACCACTACATCAAAGGCAGAACTTTGATTTTTATTGGTTGATTAACTCATGTATCATTTTTAAAAAAATAAGTTCATAATAATTATTTTTTTATTGTGAATTATACATTAAAAGATAAATTTTTATTATCACTTAACTCGTTTTATTTACATGACTTAAATTTAAAATCTTTTATTTTAAATAAAAAAATTAACATTAAATTATTTAAGTTAACAATTCATAATTATTAAATTATATTAAAAAGATAATTATTTTTGAAAGAAAATGTGGCATTTTATTACTGAGAGGTGTTTTATGGTATATGTCTACAAATGTCTTTCACTATGGCCGGGAAACAGAAAAAATCAGCACAAGGTTTATATTTTATAGTATCACAGTCCGCAAATAGAATCCCAAATTCACTCAACATGATTACTGGGGAGCAGGGGCACTTGCAGGAGCCATTACCGCCTCTGACAATTCCTGGACATTGCTTGCTCTGGAGCTCATGATGAGCATGCTGCGGCGTGGATTGCTGCGGTGAGCCTCGCAGAGTGCAGGTAAAAACGCACCTAAAAAGTTAAAAGAAAAAGGAAAATTATAGATTTGAAAATTATAAAAAAAAAAAGAAAAGAAAAGAAAAGAAGAGAAGCCAAATAGAGACTGAATTTTTTTTTTTTCCTCTTTTTAGCTGTTGATGATGTGAAACTCATATATGATCGTATGGGACTTAGTTACATGTAATCAACGATTGAAAAATATTCAACATTCATTAATCCAATTCACACTTCTCGGTCCACTTATCATAATTATTTTCTAAGAATTAATTGTTGAGAATTTAGACTTGTCGAACTCTTAACGGGTCAGGGGGACGAGGATATATAATTCCATGATTGAAGAAGTCAAGAACATCACGTCTTTTTTCAGTTATAGAAAAAGAGAATGGCAAAAAAATTTAACAAAAGGTAAGAATGTTTAGTTCCAAATTTCCGCCTAATTTCTCTCCATGGTCTTAAGGTTCATAATTATTAATTTAATTTTTCTACCATATGTCTTTAACCATGTAATTAATATATTTTTTTATTATTAATTAATATTAAAGATAATAAAACTTGATATTTCAAGTGAATCATTTTAATTAGATAATTAATTAAATAAAAATTAATTTTTATTTTTCTAATAACAATTAATATGAAAAAATAGTAAAGAACCTTATTAAGTGGAGATAGGAGGTCTATGTTGAATAGGTACTAAGTTGGAGTCCCACAAACAAATAAAGAAAGAATCGATGAACGGGGGAATGGTGAAAATTTTACCTTCTCCGGCAGCCAAATTGAAGTAGAGGTCAATGATGTTGGGGCAATTTTGGTAGCAAGCGGGAGAGCAAAGCTTGGCGGTGAATTGTGGTTCGAGGAGTGAATCGGAGGAAATGCCAACCGAGTTGCGATCAACCCCACAGGCGGCTACGCAGTCATCAGTCTCCATGCATCCAGCCATTCCCACCACAACGACCTCCGACGTCCTGCATTGGTACTCCATGTTCCCCTCCCCCTCTACATACGTCTCTAGCAGACACCTCTTCCCTGAAGACGCTATCGAGAACGCACACAATTCCTTTGGCAAATCATCACATACCATCTCAGCTACAAAATCCAATATAATTATTGTCACAATCAGAAATAAATCATGATCGAACTTAATCCTGGCTTATTAAAATCTATCACTGCTAAGTAGCTAATTGTTGGTTTATCAAAATAATAATAATAGAAGAAAAGATCGCTCATTTCAAAAAAAAGAAAAAAAGAAAAAGAAAATTTAATAGACATACCTAGAGTTGCATGGAGGAAAAGAGAGGAGAGGAAGAGAAGAAGGGGTGTTTTGAAGGAAGCCATTGGGGGGGAACTGTGTTTCTTGTGTGGTTTATTTTTTGGTGTTAAGAAAACAATTTCGGGTTGTTTTTGTGAAAGGAATTGAAAGTGGAGAGAATGTATAAATAGGGAGAGGAGAGGGGAGATGGAAAATGTGAAACAAATTGGTTTGTTGGCGAAGACACCGTCTGGGGGTCGCTTTAGTCTTTATAAATTTTATAACGCGTAATTAACGCGTTTGGTATATTACCTTCCTTCCCCTGTTTCCTCTGCTTCTCCTTCACTATTTCGAACAATTATGGGTCCATTTTTGAGTCTTTGAATATTTGACGTTGAGAATGAAATTTACGGTCAAGGAATGCTCGCAAGTTTGAGCTTTCAACACTGTTGATGTATAGTGCGAAATAACAAGAATTTCACATAAAAAAAAAAGAGTATAAAAATAACTTAAATATATTAAGATTCATGTAATTATTAAATTAATTCTTTAATTATAATATAGTGTTAACACACATATGATAAGTTAATTTTTTTACTTATAATATAGTATCAATACATGTAGTGATGAAATAGATCACTTTATATTTTCCTAACAAGTGGTATTAGAGTTATTAACCTTATAAATACCCCAACACATTAATAACATGATGGATACCCCAACACCTATTAACAATCATGGAATGTATTACTATTAATTTCCCTAACAAGTGGCATTAGAGTTAATAACATGATAAATACCCCAACACCTATGCATAATTTTCTAATAGGAATACTAAATTTTGAAAATAAATATCTGAGCAATTACATGGAAAACTGACGAATGAACTTCTTCCTAAATTTCATGGAAAGGTCAGGTGGGTGTGTGATGTTATTGGTTCTCTGGTTGACATGGTTTGTGGGTCGTGCTCCGCGTAACTCAAGTCAGAAGTCTTCGTCTTCGGCGAAGAAGAGAGCCGGCAGTCTTGAATAAGGTGAAATCAACAAGTTTCGGGGTCTTTCCTTCGACGGCTTTGGAGTCAATGGTAAGCAAATAGGCTCAGATCTTGAACCTTTCAAGGGACAAAATGCTCATCACACCACGTTAATCTCTTGCTTTTTCTTTTCTTTTCTTTTCTTTTGTTTATGTTGGGAGACATCTAGCCTAATGGGAAAACATATATATTAGTTTAGTAGTTTTATAGTTCTTATATATTTAAACCATTCATTGTTTTTATATTTTTTTGATGTAAGGCTTTCATTAGAATCCATTTTCTTATTTATTTTTAATTAATATACATATAGGGTCTATGGATATATATTCATTATGGCACAACATCATTTATAAGCCCAGCTCAAGACCCATGTACCATTGGTACATCTAGCCTAATAAACAGACACATTTAATAACTTGTCATATGTTTTAATATCATATTAAAATTAAAAAACTGATATGAGTTCTAGTATAATCCAACCGTTTATCATCACTCTCATATTTTTCAGATATGAGTCTTGTTTTTCACCCTCAATAACATACTTCAATAATTTCTTTGAATAAATTTAGCGTTTTAAACTCTATGATATTATAGCAATAGCTCCCTTTTTTTTTCAAATCACCCTCATTTGCCTTAAAATTCGACATTTAGTTGGAGTCTCCTATTCTTACCTGATGAAACACTCAAATTTCCATCCAAGCCGGAGAGCTACTTGTAATTTAGAAGCAGACAAGACATGCATGATGTACTCATCTCCGGTCCAATTGGACTTCTCAAACCAACCATGACCACAAATAGAACTGACAATTTCCTCAGAGATATGCGAAGATTCCTGTCACGAAAATAAAAATTTTAAGAATATTTCTTTCAATAACGTAAGGATGGAGACATTTTTTTCCTTACAAATTTTATGAAGAATTTTCTTCATCCTATAGAGACCTATGAAGATTCATATATAATAAAAAATATATAAATTTATTCTTATATATATTTTTATAAATATATTACAAATTAATTTTTAATAAACTAATCTAATTGATTAACCCAACCTAAC